AGATTGCTATTAGATCTTTTCTCACATATAAAGTATTTTTATACTGTGCTCCTGAAATAAATTCTCATTTAAAGCAGTCAGTTAATTGCATAAATTTTAGCTGGAATTTATCCACCTCTGGCCACACTTTTCCAGATGTGACATCGCTAGTACTATAAATTCCTCAACTGACATATTCCAGGGATTGTATTTGGCCTGTTTGCAGTTGCATTACACTGGTGGTTCATAGTCATCTCATAATCCACCAAAACCTTGAGATGTTTTCAGCTTTTTTGTCCCCAAAAAGGCTTAGCAAGCTCACAAAGAACTTCTTACTGGCCCTGACATTGACTGTAAATTTCTCTAACTTGATCCTACAACTCTCACTCAGTCATTTATCCACCCAAATGAGTCCCTATTTAAAAAATAAAACAAACAAAAACCTCCCGTGTGTTTGGGTCATTTAAACATTGCCCCAGTTGTGCAGCAGCTACTCAGGGATAAGTGGCTTCCATATCGTCTGGAGAACATGTAAAGGGCACCTCAACGTTCACTCACTGGAATAATTTACTTCGAACACACAGCCCTTTAATTTCCTATTGATCTTTGAAGAAAAGCAGAAGCCTGATTTTCAATCTTATCCAACCTCAAAATGGATGTGCGATATTTCAGTCATAAGAGAGCACCTTTTCTCTCTCGATAAACTGGAGACAATTTAAATAATATCTGGAGAGATTTTAGACAATTTAGAAAAAGATGGCACAGCGTTCATATGCTTAAAACATTCTGACAGAAATCCTGAGCACAATTATTACATGCACAGAAGATCCACTAAAATCAATAAGATTTGCCTATGCATATCATTCATTGAATTGGCTGCTGCCTCTGATATAATGTTCAGGAGAATGCTGTCGTGTTATCTGCACTGTATGTTGGGCGTAATTTAGTTAGATGGTCACAGCATTTCATTTTATATTATGTGTTCCTACTGACTTTATATGCTGAGCATCACTAAAAAGATTCAAAGATGTAATCTCATTGCACTGACTCATGAACTCATCAGAGCCTCTTTACAATGTTCCCTCTAAGCTTCACAGTGTCACAAGCAGAAATTCTACCTCATGAGCAAAAAAAGCTAGTAGCATTAAAGTTGGAGCAAGTCTACATTTTACTATTGTATAAATTATTTTAGATGATTTCCATAACCTTGTAAAAATCTCAGAATGAATTCTTGTAAACTATATTTTAAGAATAATTTAAACATTATATGAGAAAACAGAATCAAATGAAATTTCATTACACAAAATGCTGTCCTCTATAGGGGTAGACCAGGCCTCTAGAGAACAGGTCTACCTGCCCCTTTCCATTCTATTGCTAGCCCTGGCCTCAAGAGGTCTGCCCACCCCCTTCCACTATATTGGTAGACTTGGCCTCCATAGAACAGGTCTACCTGCCCCAGTCCACCATATTGGTAGACCTGACCTCCAGAGAACAGGTCTACCTGCCCCAGCCCACTATATTGGTAGACCTGGCCTCCAGAAAACAGATCTACCTGCCCCAGTCCACTACACTGGTACACCTAGCCTCCAGAAAACAGGTCTACCCACCCCAGTCCACCCCTTTCTGATATATTGGTAAACATGGCCTCCAGAGAACAGGTCCACCTTCCCGAGCCCACTATATTGGTAGATCTGGCCTTGGAGCGTCACACTGCACTGCACTGACCCTTAGAAAGCATATCAGCACTTCGGGGGGGGGGGGGGCAACCAGCATTACAGGTCAAGTATAACAGAGGAGGAACAACCACTGTCAGAACCCTGCCTAACCTAACAAACAGGAAGTTGCTTAAATGTTATCAACCTGCCCAAACTACTTATTTATTCAGAGATTTATATCTCACTTTCCCCTGTGGCTCAAGGCAGCTTACACATCATACTGAAAAGTATAATAGGGGTGTGGGGAAAATTTTTTTTTTCCTGGCTCAAATACAGCCTATGGGAACCTTCATAGTCAATGGGCCCCATAGGCTATAATGGAGAATCGATCCAGGAGTATCTGGGGCTCGGGGTGTGTGTGAGGTGCCCTCATCCTCCATTGTTTCCTATGGAAGTTTGGCTGTGAACTGAAGTGAAATCCTCTATGCTGACCTCTGAAATGTTGTGTGCCAGCACCCCCTAGCGCAGCTTAGATGGAACTATGCTTCTTTATTCCCCCCACATATTCCCAGCTGCTACAAACTGATAAGAAAAGGCCAGAGAATTGAGAGGCTCCTGTACTGGAGTCCAATTCTGGAGATAACATTCAGTGAGTCAGAACCATGGTCCAACAATTCCAGTGCTGTCCCTACTTTCACCACCAAGATCTTAGGCAGACAGCTTTCCTAGCTCTGCTAACAGAAATCTTTTAAGTAGAGACATAATGAACCTTTTGAACGCATGTACTACAGGTATACCACTGAGCTATGGATCTCATTAAGAGATTGAAAAAGCTGGGAGATAATTTCAAACCTGGAAAGGCTTTCAGGAATGGGGTCATGGTGAGTAACTCAACACTGATCAAGAACTGAAAATGGCAAGTTAAATTCTAGGGATTTTTAGAGAAGGGATTGAAAAGAATCATAGAATCATAGAACATTAGAGTTGGAAGGGACCTTGCGGGTCATCTAGTCCAACCCCCTGCACACTGCAGGAGCATAGCCAAAAGATAGCCCTACAACATACCCGAAAGATGGTCATCCAGCTTCCTCTTGAAAACGTCCAGCGAAGGAGCATCCACCACCTTCTGCGGCAGACTGTTCCACTGCTCAACCACTCTTACAGTTAGGAAGTTTTTCCTGATATTTAGCCGGTAACGACTCCCTTGTAATTTCTACCCATTAGATCTAGTCTTGCAATCTGGAGCAAGAGAGAATAGATCTGCTCCATCTTCTACATGACAGCCCTTCAAATACTTGAAGACTGCAATCATGTCCCCTCTAAGCCTTCTCTTTCCCAAGCTAAACATACCCAACTCTTTCAGCCTTTCCTCATAAGACTTGGTTTCAAACCCTCTCACCATCCTGGTTGCCCTCTTCTGGACACGCTCAAGCTTGTCAACAACTTTCCTAAAATGTGGTGCCCAAAACTGGACACAGTACTCCAGGTGAGGCCTGACCATAGCAGAATAGAGCGGAACTACCACCTCCCGTGATCTGGACACAATGGTTCTGTTAATGCATCCTAAGATTGCATTAGCTTTCTTCACAGCCACATCGCACTGCGGGCTCATGTTTAGCTTGTGATCAACCAGAACACCTAGATCCCTTTCACATGTGCTGCTGTCAAGCCAAGTCCCTCCCATTCTATATCTGTGCCTTTGATTTTTTGTACCTAAGTGTAGGACTTTGCACTTCTCTCTATTGAAATTCATTTTATTTGTCTCAGCCCACTGTTCCAGCCTATCTAGATCATTTTGAATCCTGACTCTGTCTTCTTCAGAATTAACAATCCCACCCAGCTTCGTGTCAGCTGCAAATTTGATAAGCATCCCCTTTATGTCTTCCTCCAGGTCATTTATAAAAACATTGAACAACACCGGGCCCAGGACTAAGCCCTGCGGCACTCCACTCGAGACTTCCATCCATGTA